AGTTTTATATATTACATGGCAGAACGTTGGAAATTTATATATTAATGTAATGTGCCTTAACAATTTTACAGCTCTAATACTGTGTGCCATATGATGCTGAAATAATATTACCATATTGTGTTGTGCATATAGTATTACGTTTAAATATAACCTATCACATATTATATTCTGGTGCTGTAAATACATATAGGTATTTAATAAATATGTAAATGATCGTAAATGAGTTTGTTATCTGACGACCTTTTTAATATTTGTAAGTATACGGTAACACATTTTCAATTGTCTAGTAATTTTCCAAGCTTGGAGTGCCTGTAATTTTGTGTGACAGCGGAAAACACAGGGTGACGGAAAATAATTAAACCTATTTTAACGTTCATTACTGGCATTTTAATTACAACTTTTATTTTTGTAATAGGCGTTGAACTTAATTTCTGTAGACATAATAGACCCAGCGACATAAAATCTGTCGATTGAAAATGTCTCTATAGTTGTATTTTTTTCAGGCATTGATATAACCAGTTCTCAAATAATATTGACCTATAAAAGAATTTTAACAGATCACACCACTTTGTTTTGTGCATTACATCAACTGATATTCTATTTTCATGTTATGGTAGTAGTGGCAATGGTTCCTTGTTATTTGTCGTCCTGAATTTGAATAAAATATCTCTGTAAGTATTTTAAATATATTCTGACAATATTGTTACAGACTTTCAATTTTTAATTAAATTTATTAATGTTTATCGAAATTGTAATCATTAAATTTAAAATTTATATAATGAATGGATTTAGCGCATTTATTATTTATTATTTATGACATCACTCACCTGACGTCTTGCTCATTTTCGTTCTTGCTCGACATGCAGTCAGCTGATTTCTCTCATAGACGAGGCTGCCAACAGGCAAATGTCTGCATCCTACATAACACCTGCTACTGCGACTTCCCAAAACACACTGCCGTTATTCAGGCGGTCTACCTTCGGTGTGCCATGCGCTCTAAGGCAGGATGTCTTATGAAACTGAAGAATACGGCGTGGGGCAGAAATATATAGATAACTGTATTGTTGCTTCTAAAAGCTTTGCCCCTACTTTTAAAATATCGTATAATTTCGTATGAATTACATGAATTGGGGATATATGATACAAGTAAAAAAGATACAACACGCTTTTTTGATTATTTAACAATGCTTGTTCATTTGCATAGATTATATAACTTCGAATTCTGGAATAACTGTGAACGATGAATTCGAAATGTTGTGAAGGAAGCGACAGTGATGTATTTTAACGCATTTTACAGAAATTTTCTGAGTTTGCCTGGGAGACCCTAGAAATGCTAACCTGTCCTCGTTACGATATTCGAAACCGGGACCTTCAGAATACAAAGCTATATCCCAACGTCTGAGGATACGTTGAACAGTCTAACTCTGTGGAAGAGGTCTGCTTGAGAAGTTCAGCTCAGCTAGTATAAAAAAATACCCGCTGATTATGCAATCTGACGTTTCATTACCGTGTTTATAAGAGTCCGCCACTGGAATGTATCCCAAGTCAGATTAATTCAAGTGGTCGCTTTGCTTAAAGTTTTGTTACCGAAATGTTGTGAACGTTAGTAGCATACTACATCGTAAAATAGGTTTTTGCTTTGAGAGTAATTTGTAAAACAAACATCAGTTTATTCTCACAGATATTTCTTCTGTTAGTCATTTAATAAAATTGACTAACGTTTTATATATTTAATAATAAGAAATATGAGTGCGTTGAGAATCTGTTCAAATATCTCTGACTTATTGTGTGTTGACTAACGTTTTATATATTTAACAATAATAAATATGAGTGCGTTGAGAAGCTGTTCAAATATCTCTGACTTATTGTGTTCCCTGTATACTTAAAACTATTTTTCCATCTTATGTCCTGAGAGAAGTTGCTTCTTATGCGTTTCTGCACGCATAATTCATATAATGAGTGAAACATATAATGCCGTTCGAAGGACACACAAATGATTTGTCTCTGTCAGGAAAAGAGTCATTGCTTCATGCTGTAAATTTTTGACTGCAAAACACCACACCATTAGAATGTATTTTAATTCGGATAATACTAAGGAGCTGTTTACACTTGTGTATTGCGATAATTAGCTTAGTATTTCCCGTCAAAGTTGATGGTTATGTATCTTTTTGTGTTTAATACTAACGCAACTGATTTTTGATATCGTATCAATCAGCTGGAATGCAGCGGTCGAGTTCATCAGTAGAACACAGCTCCTAGGCAAGGTCAGCTGTCACGAAACGTTGCGATTTACAATGTAAGGGGGTGGCTCCGGCGTGTTCCGTGAATCAATGTAAACTTACTGCGATAAAAATCTTTTAATTCCGATCGGCCCGCGGTCACGCCCTGTTATGTTAACGATAATTTAACTTTTGTAACCGTGCGGATGTGGTGTGACGTCATGTAATAATGGTAGAGACAGACAGAGAGAGTGAGTGTGTGTCTGTGTGGGTGTACGGGGGTGGAGAAACTGGAAGCATGCACATTAGAAAGGGGGTGGGCATTCTTTTCATTACTTTGGGCTGTATTGGCTATTCCTGTCTTAGTCGGGGACCGCAGAAAAAATGACATTGAAAGTACACAAGCGAAACTGTGTCTTTTAAGATTTCTGTCTTCTGGGTTGTTGCGCCGTGTAGTCTGGTAGAAGTTTACGGACGTTTCAGAGGTCATACTGCCTCCGTCATCGAATTCGACCCCATGTCATGGGAGATAAACGAAGTGGGCTACACATTGTGGTTTCGTTCAAATCTGGTGGAGGACATAATCAAGAAAACAAAAGTTCTGTGGTAGACTGAAGAGGTTGATTTCCAAATAAACTGCAATTAAACTAAATTGATACAAAATTTTATATATACAGGATGATTCAAAAGGTTAGGGCCAAACTGAAGGAGCGTATAGAGGGACTCAGAGAAAACAACTTTCGAATAGGAATCCATATCCTTCGAAGTTATCCTGAGTCAGTCGAGGCCATTGAAGGTGGGGACGTCTGATAACATACCGCTGAAATAATCATACTTTGCTATTCTCCTACTAGCTTAATTTTGTTTTTTTATTAATGTACAAGGATTACATTAGCAATCTTACAAACCAAATTATTTCAGCCGTATGTTATCAGACTTCCCTACCTTCAATGGCCTCGACTGACTCAGGATAACTTCAGAGGACATGGATTCCTATTCGAAAGTTGTTCTCTCTGAGTCCCTCCATACGCTCCTTCAGTTTGGCCCTAACCTTTTAAATCATCCTGTATATTTATAACAGTTTTCTTTAGTACCAAACAACTTTTGCCGTTCTCGTATTAGCTAATTCCCAAAGTATGGGCAGCAAGTTCTTCGAATCCTGTCTCGCTTATGGATACTTGTGTGCTATTACCGTTGTCTCTGATGTGTAATCCTGCTCGTCACAAATGCCATACACTGCGGGTCCTGCCGTGTGCTGCCCTCGGGAAAGGCGTTGTGCACGTCATTGTGTGAATACGGGCCGCAACCACTCTTGGGACTGGGCGAGTCCTTATTTAATTATTTATTTTCGAGCATGAACAAGTCATGATTAATTTAGACCTAGTTTTGGAAAGAACAGATGATTGCTTCCGAAAAGTAGTTTCTTCCGTGAACACCACTGAAACATGTTTGGCATTTGCGTAATAATTATAATTTTTACAATCTCAAGTAATTGCAAAACATAAACCATAGGAAACTTTAAAATTTGCGTATGTAATTTAGTCTTCTAATAGTAAATTATAAATATTCATAGGAATAGCAAAGCGGTGATTTGCAAAGTGTGGGTCGCAACTCCTGTGGTGATAGTAATATGTTCAGGTGATTAGCTGGAAATAAATGCGCATTGGAGACATTTTGGTCACTCACAACAGTTTAAGCATTCTTAACAATAAACAGAGACACTCGTTGGAATAGTCTAGCTTGCAAGGCGAAGTCTATTTTGAACTGCTTTTGAATTCATATATCTCATCTGTTCCAGTAATTGACAGGCATTCTTCAGTCGTCTGTCTATACGTCAATCATCGATCTTAATATTAAACGGAGTTTCAAAGTTTAGAAGCAGGCAGTTTTTTCTCGCTAAAATTAAAAACAGTTTATTTCAAGTAACTGACTTTTATTACGTCTTACTTTCTGTCGATTGCGTTATCTTCAAACACATTTGACAGTAACATATAAAGAAACTTTACGTTTATAATTTGGTTAATTTGCCTAATTACAAATTGTAAAAATTGTGACTTGTTCTGTTTCTATATTTTAAATGCCATAAAAGTATTTCAACCTTTTCCGTTATATTTATTTTGTAAGTGCAGTGGATTCCGGTTAATTGGGACACATCGGGACTAAAACACTTTGGCCCAATTGAGCGGCTGCCCCAATTATGCGAAGTTCCACGTAAAGAGTTAAAAAGATTTGATTTGACCCAAATAAACTGCTTCCCCGATTAACCGATGGTCCAATTAACCGGAATCTACTGTATTTTTCTTCATGGCTAATGTAAAATCAGGCGGAGCATAGGACCAAAAAGGGGTTAAGAGATCCGTTGCTTATTTAGGACCCAAAAAAGGGACACGTTGTCAAATTAGTTCGGGAAAACTGCTTTAGAAAATTATATACTTCGAGACGTGAATAAGTAGTCGACTTAAGAGCTTGTAGCGCCTGCTTTAAGTTGAATGCTTTAGTCTAATTACGAGGCTAACAGGAACATTAAATGGACATTTGTTTTTAATATTTTCCTCAGGTAGGAAAGTTTAATTTGTCACAAACATATTACACAAAAGACAATTTTTAATTTCTGGCAGCTATTATAAACGCCTATGAACACAGCCCATCTGTTATAAATAGAAAGTATCACAATAGTATTTGTCTCTTTAAGGGGAAATAATTAACCTGTACAAGGAACATTAGCTCGTGATATTATAAATGAAATTGCAGAAGTTGGTTAAAAGTAGCGTGTGTTCACAGTATGTACAGGTCTAATATTCGGCCCAGGTAGTGAGTTTGTGCGTTACACCCTTTAAAGACTGCAACACGCAACACCGTGATGCAGGAGACACCCACTGAACTCAGTCCTCGAAGGCAACTGCTCTGCAACACAGGTTAGTTTCTCTGGCTTCTGTAAGGTATTTGCACAACGCTCGAAAACACGCCTCCAAATTACAAAAAAATAATGTAAAATGTGTATTTGGCCTAAAATGTACTTAATTTCTCTGCTCGAAACATTTTTTTTACTTTCTCTATGTAGGTACGTTGGAAGGCATGTAGATATTTATGTAGAGTGTTCGTTATCATTTTCAGATTTCAAATAAAACTTGAATGTGTCGAAAAGTTATAGTAAAACAACCAATATCATTTCAGTGATCATTGTCTGCAGACGGTTGGACAGACAATTGGACATGGCGAAGCTAATTCAGGTATTTTTGCAACTTCTCATTGCGAACACGTAAAAAAAGAAGTAATTGAGAGGAAGGGCCAGAAAGGAAGTAATGCCATGCTTATCACGAGGTACTTATGGATAGAAACTCTGTTGGTCGTCAGTAAGGAACAGGGCTAGAAAAAAGAAACGTAGATCTAAGAATAACAGCCGGGATAGCTCAGTCAGTATAGTGACTAGCTACGGGCTGGACGACCGGGGTTCGATCCCCGATGACTAAGAATAGGTTTTTGTTGCACCATCAGAATACAGGACAAAATCATGAAAATGTCTAACGGTTTATTTCAAAATGTGGTAAAATTAAAATGTTTGTGAATGACACATTTAATTCATAAGTGAAATAAACCAAATTCCTATTATTCTATCTAAAAAATGTTTGTTGCTTGTACGCCTTGTAAGTTGGGGGGGGGGGGGGATTAGGATTGCATCATAGACGAGAGGTTAATGTTAGAGAGATGGGATATGAGAACGTTGACTTACTGAACTAGCTCAGAATATGGTTCACTGGCGGATTTTTGGAAAAACTGTGATAAACCAGCGGATTTATACAGAAAAGAGCGGGCAATTTCTTTAAATGATGAACAGTTATGAACTTCTTTTGATCCTCTGGGATTCTTTTGTAGATTTCAACCATGAGTAACAAACAAACATCAGTTCCTCGGTGGAGCCTTGTATTGTTGCTCTGCTGTTCCATCGGGGTGTGTTCTGGGTGCCCGGAGCCATGTGAATGCTACAAAGCGTGGGACAGAAGCATTATAGCGAACTGCACACGGAAAGATCTGGCATTACTTCCAGAATTTGAGGAAGATGTCGCACAACTCGACATCAGCTACAATGACCTAGGAACCCTGCAACATCTCTGGAATTCTTCTGGTTACCTTTCACTCAAAGAGTTGCGTGCAGATGCAGCGAGAATCCAGTACATATATCCAGGAGCTTTCAGTCACATGGCACAGTTATTAAAACTCTTTCTCAGGTATAATTTTATAGAGAATCTTGAGCTCGGAGTGTTCGAAGGTCTAGAAAGCTTAGAGGAACTAAGATTAGAAGGGAACAGGCTTCAAGGAGTAAGAGCACAAGTATTTCAAAATATGACCCAAATGGTAGAATTGTATTTGCATAACAACCAAATAGAAATTATAAGCCCTGGTGCATTTGACGGTTTAAATTGTTTAAAAATATTGTCATTATCCAATAACTTTTTAGCTCGCCTGGCATCACAGACATTTTATGGTCTTACGAGGTTGGTGGATTTGAGACTTCATAGAAATTATATGAAATTTCTGGATCTTATGTTATTTCGGACTTTAACAAATTTGAGATACTTACGATTTAATGATAATGAGATAGAGGAAGTGGTACTTGGTACATTCTCAGGGTTACAGAGTTTGGTCAGTCTGAATATGAATGGAAATTGCCTAAGGCAGTTACAGTATAATCACTTCAGTAACGTGACAGGCAAGCAAAGCCAAGCACTCGGAATATTCGCCGGATTGTCAAATTTGGTTTATCTTCATGTAAGTGACAATCTGTTAGAAGAACTGGGGTCAGTCGTATTTAAAGATCTCGTGAGTCTGAAGTTTCTAGACGTGTCCCGAAACAGGTTAATAACGTTAAATGAACATACGTTCTTACACAACACCCTTTTAACTGACCTACGTCTGTCGAACAATCCAAGACTTACAGCGCCCAGGAACGCATCATTTATCAATGTCAAGTCTCTTCAAAGCCTGCATCTCTCGAACTGTAGAATAACAGACCTGACCGAAAGAAGTTTTAAATATCTTCCGAATCTTCAAGATATCCGATTAGATCGTAATTCACTCAAGACACTCAAGGTAGACACTCTTACTGGCCTGATGCATCTTTCACAGATTTCTTTATATGGTAATCCTTTAGTATGTGATTGTGAACTTAAGAAGACATGGCAGTGGTGTCACAGTAATAACGTGCATCTGACACATAAAAATTCGTTTTGTATACAAAATAGGAATATGGTCAGAATGTCTTGGGATTTGCTTGAATCCTTTACGTGTTCCGACTACTCTTCAGGACGAATGTTCTTTGAGTCATTTCACTCGTTCGTGGAACCGGTAGTGTATGCAATTATTTTGCTGTCAGGCGCAACTGGTACTGGTGCATTATTGTTGATTTTTACTACTTATGAAAGGATTCTTAAAATCCCAAACGCCTGTATATTCAGTATAGCTGTAGGCGATTTTATAATGATAATGGTGTTTTTGCCTATGAGCTTTGTCAATGCCTTCACGGAAGTTTGGAAATTTGGACTTCCGCTGTGTAAAATATTCATTTTCTCACGTGACCTGACAGTTGGTGTAACTGTGTTCTCTGTGATGTTGTTTGCTCATCACACTTACACTTGGACAGTTCTCTCCTGCCGGTTACGAAATTGTGGATTTGGTTCTTCTTCAAAAGCAGGCGTGTTTAACGTGTTTGGGATTTTGTTTGTGGCTGCCGCCCTTGCATTTCCTGCTTTTCTCTGGGCATCAAATGATTCCGGAAAATGTAGTTACGCCCCAAATAATGATGGCGTTAATTTTATCCCCTACGTGACATTAATACAACTGTTCATTTATTCCATAATGCCTTTATGCTTTATTGTGTTAATTTATACTGTAACAGAAAGGTATATAGTTTTTAAATCACCCAAACTTGCTGGAAAACTAGATGAAAAGAAAATGTGTATAAGGAAAGAACTTTCAAAAGTGGCTGTAATTTTGTCTATCGTTTTATTTGTAAGTTACGCACCAAATATAATCATGAGGGTTTTAATAGGTTTCTCTATTGTAAATCAAAATTTGGACATTACTAAAGTTTTCGTCTTCTTAACTGACTGCTTGTTTTATTCAAATACTTGGCTTAATCCGCTAGCACTCTACTGCACCTGCAGTACATACAAGAGTAATTTCAAACGGATTGTTTATTGTGAAAGATTCAGAAAGCAGAGGCCGAAGCCAAGAGACTCTACGTCACACGCAGCAGCTTCAGAGGGACCAAGTTCAGTTGCAGAAATTCGCTACTGAGCACATCCGTGACCAGTGTGTGTTCATAGCTAATCTCTAGAACACTATTACGTATCACGTGCTTTAACATTCAGTGACTTTGCGTTTCACCCACAGAGTACATACAGATTTTATGAATCTCGGAACAAACATCGATTATATTCTTAACCACTATTAACCAACTGGTCTCTGCAATGGAGACGCTTAGTGCTTTTCTTTAAGTGAATTCAATTAATATTGCTTTTAACTTTTATTAACAAGGACGAACTTCAAAATCACAGATAGTACTAATAAAAAAGACTCGGATGACTCTTCTGAACATTAATAATGCTTCCTTACAGTCTCTATTGTTGGAAAGGTAGTGAACAGTGTAGAAATAATACTGGTATAACAGTTTTGTGAGTGTTTGTACCTGTGAATGCATTATGAACTAGAATTTTGACTTAAATACGTCTATACGGAAGGGTCATTCAGCAACAATGCTTTACTCCTTTACCTAAGAAACTAATTGTTATGTCATCTATTTACTCGGCATTGTTGTGTTACATTACTGCCGTCAAGAATCTGCTTTCGTTATTGCGGAAAGAGCTGAGCTGTGAATCGCTTTTAGAAGAAGTAGATAACATTTTGCTGTTAAAAACATTTCAGAAAATCACAAGTCCTTATCTTATATAAGAACTATTAAGAGATCTGTGATACTGCCCTCCACTCTCTCCATTTTAGTTTTGATTAAATTGATCGTTGTCTCTTACAACTGAACAAAGTTTGAGGTAAGGGATTCCTATTTATTATTATTGTTCATCACATTTAATGTTTTCATCTGCATTTGTGAACTCGTGTAAGAGAATTAGGCTTGTCTTCTTTTGACGTAAATACGTCTATACGGAAGGGTCATTCGGCAAAAACAGCGTTTATACATTTATTGTAATTTTAATGTACCAATGTGTACAATTTTGAATGCATCTGGCGCGTTAAGCGGCCGCCTCTCGAAAACCGGAAGAATCTGAACATATTGCGTACGAAATACGTATTTATTATCTCTTGGGGTTTCCATATCTGTTATCAGATTTTACATATCACAAATGGTTTAGGTTCTACAAACATTTATTTATACAAATAAAGGCGCATCGCACTTCACGCAACTGCTGCGTTCGCGTATTTACGTCATACTATTTAGAGATAACAAGATGGATGACATTGAAGCCAAAAGAGTCTGTAATGCAGAATATATGGGGCAGTACGGAAAACTTAAAAAAATAGAGGTATTAAATAATGAACCTGAAGTTCCCCCCAAAAAAATACCAAAAACTAATGCTGAACGTATGAGAGAATATAGAAATCGCAAGAAGCAATTATTGCAAGTTATGAAGCTAATAATAATAATAATATATAACCTTCCTTTCATTGTATTTATTGCCTAAAAATAATTTAAATACAAAGACGTATTTACGCCAGATTCTCCGGAACCGTGGTTCCACTGTCAATTTTTATTTATGCTTTAAAACCTAAGGTAAGAATATGCATTGACTTCTTTAACAATCAATAACTCTGAATTTTGTGTGTATGGGTTTTGTATGATTCTCAGAATAAACAACAACAAGAAATTAACCAATTGATCTTTTTTTTTATATCTTAATTGCGTCATGTTTGTGTTTATTAATACAATAATTTATTTACCGTCTATACACAAACTTAAAAATGTTGTTAAAATTACTTAAAATTTATAACATTTTTTCATTAGATACTAGAAAAAAAAAATTTAACAAGATCTAGTATCTAATGAAAAAATATTATAAATTTTAAGTAATTTTAACAACATTTTTAAGTTTGTGTATAGACGGTAAATAAATTATTGTAACAATTGATCTTTGTAATGGTGAAGTGTTTTCTTTGCTGCACTATGCTTGATTGTAACTGTAGTGGCATGCAATAGCTATGACCGTGCTTTCTATCCCATAACATTTTGTTTCATTATGTACATACACAAAATCCATAGCAATATTACTTTGAGTTCTCTGGGAAGGGTGGGCAAAAAATATTGAATGAGTTTGTTATGGATTCACATCGGTTCAGTACAATCGAATCCTTGCATGGGCTTTCTCTTAAATGGGTCCGACGTTCCACACGACAACAGATTTATATAATGTTAAATTATTGCATATTTATGTGTTAGGTTTAGTAATACAGAAATTAATCTGTAAACTGCACTTAGATACTTCACGTGTTGTTGCGTTTACACTTATTAACATTAAGACATTTTTGTGAGCAATTCAATGTTATAACACTAAAATATTTCTATGTGCAAATTAGTGTTTTCTTGCTGTATTTGTTGCTGTGTACTGTACATCTTCAATTATAGCCTACATACAAATAAAATTACACTTGAGAAAAATATGCAAATAAAGATTATAAAATTATTGTTTCATTCAAGAGTGTTTTATTTTGCTTCGTGTTTCTCACCACATGAATATCATCCGGTCGCATTTCTCATTTATTCATCTGGGTACATAAATTGTTATTTTCAAATTGTCTCAAAAAGGGCACAGTGTTCCTGCTCCTTGTCAATACAAAAAGGTTTAAAACATGTATTTTTATAATCAGATAAAATATGTTTGCAGGGATAACGCTGCCTAACAACAAATATACGTTAATTATATTAATTGCTAGTTATCTTGCATATAATCGTTTAATTTAATCAATCTTTGTACAGTACCTTGAAAAACACTGTGACAAACTTAACCTTCGTGAGACGACTATTATTGCCATGCTGTTGTTTACGCGTCTCCTGTTACATTGGCACAAGAACCATTGCACTTAGAAACAAGGAAGAGGAAGTTGTCCCGCGGTTGTCTCTGCATGAAAGAGATTATAAAGATGCTGTGTAGAACTTGCGACTCATAATTGTTAATAAAATATAATACCGTTTCTTACAGTCCATTATTTGGACCACACTAATAATACTTACCGTAAAGATGGCTGTTCAGTTTGACGTTATAAGATGGCTGTCTTCTGGTTTGTAACATCCTGTAGTCTGGCAAGAAGTCTGCAAACGTTTCAGAGGTCAATAGTACCCGGCACTATAATCCAGAATACAGCCGTCTTCATATTCGCCGCCGTGTGAACCGGAAGTCCTACGTATATGACGTCACATTTAGTAGCATAGTCGATGCTTGGGATAATCGATTCGTTTCAGTCTCTGGCAGCAAAATCGATTGTTTCTTATCATTTATCAATGTTGGTATTTTCTGTGTAATTTGTACGCAGATAATACAAGCATTTGTGGACAAATGGATAAAATATTTCTGGTGTCCGGTATGAATTACATGTTCGCAAAAATTTTCAGCTGTTGCTCATGAAAAGGTTGTGTGATAACTGACATAACTTTCGTATGATTCGTTCGTAGATTCTGGGACCCGCCTTTGAAGTAATATAGGAAGTACATTAACCGAAAACTGAATTAAGAATCAGGATGGCTTGGACAAAATATCAAGCTTTAATTGCTGTTGTATTAGTTATTACTGGATCGATAAATACTCTGAGTACAAAGTAAGTATGTATCATATTTAATAAAGAAAAGGGGAGTGTTGATTGAAGTGTATTGGGTTAGGCTTGTGAAAGAAAAGATCACTGGTACTATCAAGGAGTTCTTGGGGCTAATGAGGATAAAAAGGACATAAACAAAATATCAATCTCTAAACTGAAAATTCAAACTGTGAGCTATTAAATTGCATTCTTGTTAAGTTTCACAAAAATTATGCATCCACCTGTTTGGAAATAATAGGTTAGTAATTTCATTACACTGCCATTTTATGTTCAAGACATTTAAATTGAAGAAAAGAATCACGTTTCTCTATGATTAAGAACTAATGTTATAAGGGCATAAAGGAAAAGTGGTGCACATTTTTTACTGTGACGGTAGATCTTTTCTGCTTATAAGCAGTTGTACCAGACTGGATGGCCAGGGACCTATTTGCGGACCAGCAGTTGAGATATAAATTCCAAGCATATCAGCCCCAATTGGTCCCAGCTATTTTTACAAACTCATCTATTATGACTTCAGTAACGATATGTTTCAATTTCTTTTTTCACTACGGATTATTGAAATTTTATTATCTGAATGCAGTGATGGGTCGACTGCATAGTGCCCCACACATTTGTAATTGTGGAATGAAGTTTCCTCAGGTGTTTATATTTTCGGAGACATGGCCGCTTGAATTTGAAACCTGGTCATCCAGTCTGTAGCCAGTCATTATAGTGAACTACACTGGCCCATCACAAACTTATGCACGGAGTATATATTTGTAGCTGTGTATTCTGTCTTTCAGATGGGCTGATCGTATGGAGGCAAAAGGTTCTGGTGACATACTAAGGAAGTTTAACCATCCATTTGTTCAAGCTTGCTCGATGTTTATTGGAGAAATTCTTTGTTTGCTGGTCTTTAAGTTGCTTTACTTTTATTATTGGAGGAAACATGTGAGTATTATCTATTTACAGGTGTCTTTAGTTCTAGCAACTTTAAAACTTTTTTTATCTTTGGACATATTTTATATTTTTTCTTTTCTTTCTTTCTTGTGATAGGTTAGTTTTTTATTTACTTTTTTAGCTTTGTGTTCATGGTTTCAGAAATGTGCTTACACACTCATTGTGGGTGAGTTAACAAGAACTGTTGGCAAGTACTTCTGTAGCCTCAGTCTGCTATAGATGAGTTAAAAATTTAATAAACAAGTGAATTCAGTATGTTTTATATTTTCTCCCCCCAAGACTGATATATGGCATTAATTTTTTTAATGTACTTGCTATCTGATTTATTTCTACAGGATGGATCCCAAGATGAGATGAAGCTGTTGAAGGGAAATCGTTCATTTAACCCATTGGTGCTGCTACCACCTGCAATGTGTGATATGGTGGCTACATCTGTCATGTATATTGGTCTCACTCTTACATACGCATCATCATTCCAGATGCTTAGAGGTGGGTTAATTAATGCTTTAGGTTTTATGACTACATATGAGTACATCTTGTTCATTTAATGTGTTTTTAGCAGCAAATATGTCTGTTGGTGGCCATATGAGCTGTCTGTGCTGTGTGTATGTGTGCTCTTATGGTATGCACAAACACGTGTTCTGTTTTACAAAGGAATGTCTTCTGTAGAAGACTGGAAAGGATACAAGCGACAATAAAGAATTTTTGATACTATACTTATTTGTTGCATTTTGTTGAAGTCATGAGAAATACAAAATGCTTGTTATGTTTTAAACAATGCTACATGCTAACTCTGCATTATAGATTGCAACCTATGATTACATCATATTGAACTTGTGACTTTGCACTGGGTATTTACCCTTGACATTGTCAAAGATTTGTGTAATTTGATAAATTTGAAGTCAGCAGATAAGGCTGCAGTTCTATCAGTGTACCTGCATAGATGAATCTCCTTTAGTAAATGTATTTTTGGACATTTTCCTTTGTATTAATTTAAAAACCATACAGGGTTTTTGATGTTGGGTCTGCTTTCATCTTCAGGTTAGCAACCTAATCGGTTTGGCTCGTTATAAAAGGCTAATTGAAGTCCCCATTGGATCCGACTGATTAATTTGCTTGCATTAAGACACAAGCAGAGCCAGCTTCCAAAATGTGTGGTTTTTATTCTAAGACGGGAATATGTCGAGAAATACGCACCATTTTAACGATACATGTTTGTCAAAAACCTCTAGACTTAGGGCTAACTAGTATAATTTCTTTCAGTTGTTACACTATATTAATTTTGTAGAAAATTAAAATTTTTGGTTACAAATTTATTGTTGGTAGGTTTTAAATTTTCCGTATGTTCTTTATAAGTAATTAGAATTTGAATATTCATAGGGTACTTCTTGGTTATTCAAATAATCAAGAAATTTCCTGTTACAGTACTAGAAGGTTCATAGTATGAATTGTACTTGTAATATGTGTAATGTATATTGTATTATCATAAATTATTCCACATCCTGTTGTCATCTTACTAACTAACGGATCTATGGAATTTGGTAAAGATGTATGTATGTTCAGAAAAAAAATGTGCTATTGGAACTTGCTCTCTCCTCTTATAAATATTTGGAATGTAAACTGAAACTTGAAGTTTATGCAGCATCAGAGATGTTATGCTTTGAGAAGTCATAATTTCACTTACCTGTACTGAGGTAAGGAATCTAGCATTTTGCACGTACATATAATAATTTCTCCATTTATGATAAATGCTTGCTTTATCACTATTTGTGTAGGTGCTGTGATTGTGTTTGTGGGAATATTTTCTGTGGTGTTCTTGAATCGAAGACTGACGAAACAGGAATGGGGAGGCATATTTTTGGTGATTGGTGGTCTAGCTCTTGTTGGGGTATCAGACTTCTTTGCACCGTCGAACCCTGCCAAATTGACTGAAGCAGCCACACCAGCTTCGAATCATTCCACAGGAGATATCATCTTAGGTAAGTTGAGCATATTTCAGATAGGAAATTGTGGGGTAATTGGTTAGCATTCTTGCTTTCTTTTTGGGTGACACCGGGCTCAAATTTCAGCCCTGAGGTTTGGCAAGTATTCTTAACCTCAGCATGGACTGAAGTGAGTGGACAGTTTTACGCATGGTCACTTCTACCCTGGTACCCATGGGCTGGATCTGGTGGTAAAGAGGAACATTTCAGTCTTGCCAGAAATTAACCCGTCATCCAGCTTGACATTAGTCCCTGAGCTGTTTCAACTCTTTGTATGACTTACATAGAAAATCAGGTTCTATTTATCTGGCAGATCAGATCGCAGCAGATGTATGTGAATGTGTATCACTAACTCATCTAGTTTGCCCCAGGGAAAGGGGCTAACAAATTAGTGCGTTTATTGTTAGTGATTGATATGTGGTATTAAATACAGATCTGTTTTGTTTCCTGCGCAGGTGACCTGCTTATTATCGGAGCACAGGTTGTTGCTGCTTCACAGATGGTTCTGGAGGAGAAATTTGTTTCAGGTCTGGA